AGAATCATAGTTGGAGGGAGACGTGACTAAGAGCTCCGAGTGATAGGGTATGAGGACCCCCATGTGGCTGGCTGTGACGATGGGGGAAGGAGGGGATCTGAGTGACCTTTAGAAGAGCAAAAGACACAAAATGGATTCTGCCCTACACGTGCCAACATCTTGGTTTTAGCCAGTGTCTTGACAATGGGTTTCAGCCCCAGGCAAGCTCACTATGGATTCAATGTGACCAAAGAAATGACAGAAGGTTCTTGGGGCAAAAGGGTTTATTACCTGGCTTGTTCTCCCAGTAGGTCGAACACTAGCGTCTCTGCCTCTGCCCAGAGCACTGGGCAGAACTCTCTATATGGCACAATAATAGCTTATTGCCTATGGGTGTGGAAGTGGTGGCCTTGCAACAGGCCAGTTACAGCATCAAGTGGTTTATGTTCAGTGAGGATCCTGGCCATAGGAACCCCAACTTCCCCACAGCCAGTAAGGCTTGTGTTGGCCTCCTAACCTGCAGCTCTGTAAGGTAATAAATGTGTGCTGTTTATCAAGCCACCCCCTGGTGGGGATTTGTTACAATAGCAATAATAGAGCAACAGGAGCTCCTAGGCTTTAAGATTCCAGGAGCAGAGTCCAGAGGTTGGGAGGGTCCGGAGGTCGGGAGGGTCTGGAGGTCAGCAGGGTCCAGAGGTCAGCAGGGTCCGGAGATCTGCAGGGTATGAAGATCAGGCTGATTGGTAAATTCTTAATGTGTGGAAAAGTTCACAGCTGAGTCTGTAAATCTCCTTATGGGAATGATCTCAGCCCCAGGAAGCTCTTCTGAACCATCTCCCTTCAAGTAAGGATTTAGTTAAGAAGCCAAAGAGGATCCTATCCATAACGCTTGCAAAGGAGGAATGAGACCAAGCTGGAAGTACCCACATTGCAGCACATAAAGAAAAATGTTCAAGGGACCTGGCTACAGTCCTCACCAGGTGAAACCCCAAGTCAGTCAACACCACCAGATTCTCCAACCAAAATACCAGAGGAACTACAAGAGTCTTTCTCCAGATGGAATCTGTTATTTTACCACCAACCTATAACACAGCACATGGTTTAAGTTGATTGCCCATGTCTGATGCAGTGGTTCTGACTGAGCGCCGTTCACTAACTGGGAATATTTTTAAAAAATGGATGCTCAGGTCCAAATCTGGAACAGTTTAAACAGAATTTCTGAGAGTGGGGTCAAACAAGGGTATTATTTTGAGGCTTTCCCCATAGTTCTGAAGCATCGAGAAGGGGAGAACTACTGGCAGGATGGCTGTGCATGTCAGAGGGATAACGTAAGTGCATAATATGAGCAGTGCCACCGAAAGCCACATGTACAGGTAGACATGACTTTGCCTTCTTAAAAGAGATCCTTGGGCTGATCCCCCACATAGGAACTAATCCACTACCATAAAAGGGCTGAGGATTTATTTACAAGAGGATCAGAGAAAGCAAATGTGATTGATAATAGGCTGTGACTTCATCAATTATTCTCAAAATCTACGTGCCTCCCAAAATTAGGCTACATATCTGCAGTGAGAGAAGAAAACATATAATGTTTGTAAATTCCACTTAGTTTAGAAAAGTTTTTGCTGTTTTATCAACATTTTTCTGAAAAAGGATCTAAGAAACTTGTCCAACAGTGTCCCAAGTGGAATAAAATTGTGCTTGGATATTACCATGAATTCTACCTGACAGAAGTAATGAGTCACGGGAAGTGTGACAGCCTTGTGAGCACCCCCATTACCACCATGGACACACCACCAGCGTGGAAGCCCGTGGCTGTTCTGCTTGACAATAGCCAATTCTGCCCCAGAAGAAATAACCAGGACGGACAAAACTCATGTGCTAGGCACAGATGGTTAAGTCACTAATATTCAGAAACACTAATCATACAGGGGACATCTAATATTCATTTAGCACTAGATATTCATGACTTATTCAGCACTCACAAGTCTCAGTCCTGCCACTTGCAGTAATGGGCAGCTGAGTCCTTGCCCCTGAATCTGTCTGACAGCCAGGGTGGGTCCCTGGCTCAACACCTCCCATCCCGAAACCTTGCTCAAACCGCAGCACTGGTCCTCAGTGGCTGCTCCATCAGCAGGAAGGCGATGTGCCAGAGAGCTCGCACATGAGCGCTGGGGAACCACAGATTCCAAATCATGGTCTTCCCACCCCACGTGTACCCTACCCTAAGTGTGTCCATTTTCTCTCCCCCTTCTTCTTATGGTGTTAGCCTTTCTTTTCATGATCTCTGGGATAGCTCATCTGGTGGTATATTTCGAGGGCATCATTGCACTGAGGTCATTTCCCACACAAAACAAAGCAAGTACTGTCTGGATACTACCCAGCACTGTATAAAGAATAAAAAAGAGGGAAACTCTTTACCCTGATGGCCTATAATTTCCAACTCTTTGCACTCAGAAGAATGCCAGTTTAGACTTCCCAGCGACAAGGGAGAGAATGCCTAATTTTGGCAGGTCCTCAGAAGACTTTTTAATCTTTAGACTTTCAAAATAAACCAGATTGAGAGTTTTGGGAATACTCATTATAATAGGGTACAGCTTATTTTAATTCAAGAAACCGAGTTTCTTGATCTTACCAAGGTCACTTGCATGGCCCTCTGATTACTGACCTGTTGGGTCACTAGACCCCATTGTCCCAGGATTAGGGGGCAAGAGCTTTTCATGTTTGTTGTCTAAGTGGCCTAGTTTGAGATTCAGAGTTGAGGAAGTCTACTGCATAAAAGGCTATAATTTTATGGAAGACCTAGCGACAAGGGCGGGCAAAGCGGATTCTGAAATGGAGTCACACTGAAAGAAACCAGACTGGTGCCAGTACTGAGTCAGGAAGTGAACGTGAATGGTGAGTCGCGTCTGAGAGGTAATCAGCTGTTTCTCAAGAAACAGAAGTATGAGCAGAAAAGGCTGGTGTTCACGAGTCTTCTAAGGCATAAACTCCTCTTGAGTGAGGGTAAATACAAAGGGGATTTCCTTTCTCAAAATAAAACCCCCAAAACAAAAAAGCCCTTCAAACCAGCTGCTGCAATCAGGAAGAGAGGGGCACTCTCTCAGACCCCGTGGCAGGTGGCTGCACATTTGAGAATGATGGCCCTATCTCCTTCCTTCCATTTCTTGAACTGGAATGCCTGCGACTGTTAACCTTAGGCCTGTCCCACCGGTGTATTTTGGCAGTTTTGGCAGCAGAGAACTTGGCTGTTTAGATTCACAGGTGCACAGGTAAAGAAGAATTAAGGAGTTACACGCCAGAGACTCATCCTCACTTGATTTAGAAGAGATTTTGGACTTTGGGCTGATGAGCTGGTAAGATTTAGATTTATATAAGGCTTTGGACTTCAGGCTGATGCTTCACTGGGATGAGACCCTTAGGAACGCTGGGAAGTGGTGGATGTATTTTATCTGTGTATCAGGAGGGGCCAGAGGGTGGACTGGGACAGCCCCAAGATTCCCACGCTCTGATGCAGTACCTGGTATAAGAACCTTTCCTTGAGCGTGGGCTGAGCTGTGAAGACGGTGGATTTCACTTCTATGATGACATCAATAAAATTGATCATGAGTTAGTAAAAAAATGAGATTATGGTGGGTGGGCTGGACCTATGTAAGTGGCCCCTTAAAAGAAGTCAGAGATTCAAGAGAAAGCAAAAGAAATACCTTGCTGACTTTGAAGAGGTAAGCTATGGACACAACAAGGTATATTGTGAGAGGGCCAGATGGGTAGGACTTGGGGATGGTCTCTGGGAGCTGAGAGTAATTCCTGGTCAACAGCTAAAGGAGAGCAGGGACCTCGGTCCTACAACCTGTGGTAGAACAGGGAATTCAGTCCTGCAACCACAAATATGTTACCCTGATGAAAAAAAACCCTTTTATACGTTATATGCCTTTTAAAAAGAGAGTTGAATCTAGACTGTTAATGCTTAGAAAGGATACCATCAGCAGAACAAAAAGCCAACATACTGTACGGGAGAATATATTCATAAACGATTTACCCGATAAGGGGCTAATATCCAAAATATATGAAGAATTTGTACGCCTCAACACCCAAAAAAACAACTCAATTGAACAATGGGCGGAGGACCTGAACAGACATTTCTCCCAGAAATACAGATGGACAACAGGCAAATGAAAAGATGCTCCACATCGCTAATCATCATGGAAATGCAAATCAAAACCACAATGAGATATCACCTCACACGAGCAGAACGGACACTCGCTACCCAAAAGACAAGAACCAAGTGTTGGCAAGGATGTGGGGAAATGGGAACCCTCTTAAACTGTTGGTGGGAATGTAAACTGGAGCAGCCACTGTGGAAAGCAGTACGGAGGTTCGTCAAAAAACTAAAAATGGAAATGCCACACGACCCAGTAATTCCACTTCCAGGAATTTACCCAAAGAAAACGAAATTCCTGATTTGAAAAGATACATGCACCCTCCCGCGCCCGCGCCCGAGTCTCCGCAAACGGCGGGCCGCAGCCCAGTCCCGAGGTCCCCGCCACGCTCCGCGGCAGCTCGGGGTTGGCGGGGACGCAAAGCCAAGCCGTGCGGAACCCTCCCGTTGCCGGCTGTCCACCCGGCAGGCCCCGGGCACTGGTCGGGACGCGGTGTCCCGGCACCCCGGGCTTCTCCTCGCGTCCGTGGGCCCGCGGCTGGGCGGCGGAGGCGCCCAGTGCTCCGGCTCCGCGCGAGGACGAAGCTCGCTGCCGCTTCGGCCGAGGCGCACCCTCCGAGGCCGCACCCCAGGCGGCCACCCCGCGGGCCGCGCCAGGAGCAGAGCCAGCCCGCCGCTCCCGCAGCACCCAAGCGGCGCCGCCGCGACCGCCCCCGAGGCCCTACGCCGCACCGCCCAGCCCGAGAGCCCCGCCCACCGCTCCCGCATGGTCCAATAGGCGCCGCCGCGCTCCGCCCGCGCAGTAGGACGAGGTGGGGCTGCCAGCGCTGAGCGGCCGCCCGCGTTAACGTGGTGACGTCACGCGCCGGCGCACCTGTCGGGCTCGCGCTGCCTCGGCTGCCGGTGGGGCGCCGTCCCGCAGCCCTTGCCCGCGGCCCCGACCGCCCGCGCCCCGGAGCCCCCCGCGTGAGGAGCCCGGAGAGTGTGCTGGGCCGCCGCGTCGGAGAGGGGAAGCGAGGAGGGAGACCGTTGTTTCTAACCGGCAGACGCGGCCGGGGCCCTCGAAGCCAGCGGGCGGAGCTTCATGCCGCTCCCGCGGGCGCGGGCGCACCACACCGGTCCGCCCCGCGGCACGTCCGGCGCCGCTGGGGGCGCCCCGGGGCTCTGAAGCCGCGGCCGTGCGGGCGGCGCCCGGCCTCTCAGGCGGAGCGCCCGTAGCCAGGGGTGAGCTCGGACACAGATGCGGACCCCGGCGGCGGCGCGCGCGGCAGCCCCCGACTTTACTATGCCTCTGGGCTGCACGGTGAGTTGCATTTTGTGAGCAAGGATGCGGGAGCTTCACGTGCACGGATCTGGGGTCGGCCGTGCGGCCCGGGCGCCCATCCAGGGCCAGCTTACAGATTTACCTGTGTGGTAATAAGCCCGCCCCGATGAGGTGTGCGCCCTCGGACTTGTTTACGGTGTCACCGATCGCCCTCAGCAGCTGTCGGAGGACCTTTGAATGGAATGGAGTGGGTTCTAGGACAAGACCAACTTCGAACTCAGTGGGATTCACTTCTGCTGAATTTGCCCACATTTAAAGTTAATATTCAGTTTTTCTATCTTTAGCTTTGTGTGTATATCGAGACATAGCCTGTGTGTATATATAACATTTGTGTTTTGATCTTAAACTTGAGCCAGAAACTGCCTTAGAATCTCAGAGATTAATTTTGCGTATGATACGCTTAATTTAAAAACTGGAGCACATAGAAGTTAATTACACATATATTATGCATATTAGAGGCCGAGGCTTGTTTCCTCTGTAGAAAAATTCTTGTTTATAAGAATTGAGTCAGCAGTAACCATATCTTTTTTTTTTTCTTTTTGGGTAATTCGAAAGTTCAGTTCTTGCATACTAAACTTTTTTGAGCCATGCAACTGAATATTGCAGCATCATTGTGCCTTGTGTCATTGACTGTTGAATCTTTCCAGAAAAGCTCTTCTCCCTAAAGAGCTCATTTAGAAAATTATTTTCGTGATGAAGTCGGTATGGAAATGATTTAACTGATGTTGTCCAATGTTATGTGCCTTTGTGAGTCACTAGAAAATACTTGAGAGTCTTCAGTAGCTCAAGAGTACATACAGGAGTTAAGATGCTAACTCATACATTGTTGATTTTCATCTTAAAAGGCGCTGCTGCTCCTGTTTTCTTGTCACATAGCTTGGCCTAAAAACCGGGCGTGTGACCTACAGATAAGTTCTCAAATTTAGTATGCTTTTATGACCTCTAGTTAATACGAACAGCAGCTGTTGGCAGCACCATACAAATTGCTTCTCCCTCCTACACTCTTCAAAGACTTTGAATTTTTTGTTTGAAAAACGGGTCAGATTACTTTAAGTCAGTATGAATGCATCCATCTTTAATTGGAAATTGTATTTTAGCTTGTGTTTTCAGTCATACGTAGCTCATTAGGAATGTAAATGTTTAACCTGTTTTTGGATATATACAGTTCAGGGGGACAGATTTACTGAGGTTATGGTTTTATGTTAGTGAATTGGCTATTTTCCAGCTCATGCTGGTGACAGGCTTTCCGTTTCCTGTTGTGACATGTTGGTAATAATCTTCACACCTCTCAGGAAGCCAGATTTGATCTCTGTAGTGGGTCAGATACCAGAGCAGTATGTCTTGTGGGGTTTGGCCACTCTCTCTGCTTTGTAGAACTTTCTGTCAAGTTTTTTGTAGAACTTTCTGTCAAGTTTTTTGTCAAACTTGTCAACAAGGATATAAAATGTATAATAGGCTATAAAAAGTGCTAATATTTGTTGAATGAATTATATGGTTCACGGTCTTTCCTAAGTGTTTTTTGTGGATTATCTTAATTCTCACACCAACACCATGAAGCATTTTGTTTTCCCATTATACATATGTGGAAACTGAGGCATAGAGGGTTTCAGTCTATCCAGGTCTCAGAGTATCAGGACTGAGGCTGAACCCTGGCAGTGTGATTTCAGAGCCGTTGCTCTCCGTGGCTGCACTCACCATATTGCAGATAGGACTAGTCAAAATGCTAGAAGAGAAGATGTGACATGAGAGATATGGCACTGTAGGTTCACTTATTTTTCAATTATGAAAATAATGTAAAATTACAGAAACTTTGAAAAATCGTTTTACAACCTTCATCCTACCACTCTATTAAACTTTTTTTTTGGTGTTTCTTTCATATGCACACTCATGTGTAAACATAGTAGGTATGATTCATTTTGACTCTTGAAGATAAGTGTTCTTCAGTTAAATATAAAATGGAGGATGAACCCATGTGGGGAAACTGCCCATTTGCATGCTAAAATGCAGAGCTTGTATCTGCAACTTTGATTGGAACCAAGTTAAACAAATACATTTCTTGCCCTTATGACATGTAGTTGGACAGTTTCTGTCTTGTAAAGTAATGGAGGTTATTTAGGTCTCAAAGTGCAAGTATTCATAACATCTTTTTGTTGGATTATTGTTTACCTTTCTTCCTTGTAATGGTCTGAATCTTGTATTTGTGTGTGTGTGTTTTCCCTGTTAAAATCATTTCACATTTTACTTTTGAATGGCTTTAAAACTTTTTATGAATCTAGGAAATTTTCTTCAGAGTAGACAGCTACTTCCTTAGGGGGTTATCCACTTGGTACTCGTTCTAAGAAAAATATATAAGGCACAGCGATTTGGACATGCAGCTAACTTGATGAACAAGGGACAAAATTATCAAGTACTATTGCTTTTGGAGAAATCGGTTTCATTATTGTCATATCTTGTATGTGTCCACAATTTGTATCAGGAAAAAGTCTTTCTTATTACTATGATGTTCTGACCTAAGTTTCATGACGTTATTATGGGTTGGAGGGGTCATTCCCTGTCACAATCAATTTGAGAAACTTTTCATAAATTTTATTTATGGAGTTAATGGTTACTGCAGGTTTTCTCAAGAACCTGTCTTAAGCTGTTAGCTCTACACTTACAGATGAGGTATGCTTTATTACCCAGACTTATTGACCGTGAAACCTTTTACTGGGCTTGTGTTGTGTGTATGCTCACTCATCTCCAGATACTTTTGTGTCCTTCTTGCTCCACGGTTTGATTCTTGCCAGTACTTTTGTTTCAGTTAACCCTTCTCGCATAAAATCTCATTTACCTTTTAAGGTTCCAAGTTGAGAGTGTCTCTTCCAAAGAAGGCTTTTCATAGTTAGGGTGGGATATGTTCTTTTTTCGGAGCTCTTAGAGTAGTTCTTGTGTCTTCTGTGACATTGTTAGGTATTGTCTTTTATTATATGGATATATTGTAACTTATAGGAAAATATTACAACATCCATTTGAGTACAGTATGTAACAACTCTATGCTGAAGTTTACGGAAAGCTGTAAGGCTTCTACAAATATGCTATTAATCATCATAAATCGTGTCTGTTTTTTATAATTTCTGTTATAAAGAAATTAGCTATTCTGTAAACATTAGTAAATGAGTAAGTGATTATGTTAAATTAATTGTCACATTTTAATCTTTAATATCTTGGCACATAAATAGTTCTTAAATTATTTATATGACAATGCTCCCTACCGGCAAATGGTTAGGTCAGTCAGAGTTTCACTTCCCTCCTGTCATTGCTCTTGAGACTTTTTTCCATTTCTCTAGTTGCTAACATTTGGGATTTTCACTTCTTCTTTGCGTTCACATTGTGCCTGTATTTCTGTTTAGCTCACCAGCCAGCCAGCCAGCTGGTTGAAACTTTGAAACGTAGCTGTGGTCTACAGCCTACTCAGTCGCCATAATGAGAGAGGTAGAACTTGTTTGGAAGCTGTGACATGTGCCCGCCGTAGGCTGTGGTCCCTTAGCCACACATAGCCAGGGTCTTCCTGTTTCTGCCCCGCCCGCACTCCAGTTCTGATGGTGTATTTCTTAGTGTTTGCAGTGGCGATATGAGCCATAAATGTAATTTAAAATTTCTTAGCAGCCACATTGAAAGGTAAAAAGAAAATTGGTGAGATTAATTTTAACAATATATTTTATTTAACCTAATATACATCTAAAGTATTATTTCAACATGGGATCAATATAAATTAATTGTGAAATAATTGGTGTTCTTTTTTTGTATTAAGTCTTAGAAATGCAGTCGGTATTTCATTTTACAGCACATCTCAGTTTGGACTAGCCATAGTTTCAAGGCTAGTGACTGTTGAACAGACAGTATAGCGCTATAGGTTTCTGGGTTAGTAAAAGAGGAGTTTTCACTTTTTCTTTTTAAGTTAATTGAATTTATAGAAATAGTGGCCCATGCAGAGCTGAGTTTATTAAACGTTTGCAGTAGAGTTGGTTGCTCTGGGCATAAAGAAAGGTGTGGAGTCTCCATGGCTCAGAGGTGGTAGTGAAATCAAGTCTTTAGAACATTTTGAAACAGTTGTGAATTACCACTTACGTTTTTTGAGGGACTTTTAGATAGATATAAAATGGAGGAACTTGCTGGTTGATATCCCAGAACACAGAAAGTTTTAATTATTTTTGTGAGATTTCTCAGTTTAGTCTAGCTAATGTTCATTAATGTGTATTATCACATGTATTTAAGCTCTTCTAGTGTATCATCATGTGAAGAAGTGAAGAATAGGATGTCCGTGTTCTTTGCAAAATCTTAACATACATGCTTTGATATGTCATTATAAAAATGATTCTTGATCTGTTAATGCTCATTTTTTAAAAAGCCTTTTTGGTTATTTACTCAAGAGTCACAGTACTTAATTTCATTGCCTCTGTGGACACCACAAAGTTCTTAACATGAACAGTATTTTCATACTGTTTTGTTTTAACATTTACTTTAAATACAAAGCTGTTGCTCTGATTAGTACATGCTAAAATCAGATCTCAGTATATTAAGCTGGCTTCCGTAGAGGTAGTCATCAAACATTAATGAAGTTGCAAAGCAGCAAATCTTTGTATTAGTTTTCGGTTATTCTCCCAAGACCAGATTAATACTGCTTCAGAGAGGATTTGTTTATTAAAAACTGAATACATTTCTCTTTTATACCTCATTAACTGAATTAACTGAATAATTTGACAGTGTGGCATTTGGACACTTAACTATCCATGTATCACGTACCAGTCACTATACCATGTGCTGAGAATAAAGACAGGCTCTCAAGGAGCTCTCAAAACTGCACCTTCTCTACAAGGGTCTTTAATTTAGGAATTTTATATCAAAATCTGTTAAAAATAGTTATCAATAATATTTTACTTTTCTGAAGAATGAAAGCTTTACAAATAACTTTAATTATTATAGATTTTTTTCCTGTGTACAGAAAGAAAATTTTTCAGTGACAAGTGGTAAATTGTCTTAAAACACTCTTAAGTCTTCAGTATTAGAATCCAGCGCTAGAATTGGAGTATACTTAGTTACATCCGTCTTTTGTTTTCTGTATGTACTTAAATCTAACAGGTCTTGTTTTACAAGACTTACTGGTTTGACTGCTCTCAGGACTACAGCTTTCAAGTCCCTCACAGGAACCTTTCAAGTCTGTTGCTCATGTCCACCACACCTATGTTGAACCCTAATTTTGATGCTGAGCAAGTAGGTTGATGTATTAAAAAAATCAAATTACTTAGGAGTAATACTGTTTTTAAAATACAGGGAGTAAGAACAATGAAAATATAAACTTAGGTGGCATCTGCTTTGAAAAAAAATTGTTACTTTTATATTTTCTAAGGCTGATATTTGGTCATGGACTCTGAAGATTTAAATTTTAAAATGATGAAAGAACAAAATTAATATTAAACTTTTAAAAATTACAGTATTTAAGAATTATTTAGCATTTGCATCTGATAAAATATTCAAAAGGGACAGAGTCTCCCTTTCAGATCTGGTACTTCAGTCATATTGTTCCTTTTCCTTGGGAGCAACTTTCTCTTAAAATCCCTCCAGAGATAGGCTGTAAATACATAAGTAATTATATTCTGTACTTCTTCCTCTTCTCCGTCCCCATTTTTTTGAGGAAAAAAATCCCTGCACATGCATTGCAGTATACTATTAATGCTTCTCTGCACTTTTTTCAACTTAACTGATATTAGATACTGTTTAATACCATTCCCTGAAGAAATATATTCTTTTTTACAGCTGTATAGTGAAAATAGAATTACTAAGTCATCCCAAAAGAGTAAACATCATAGAGTTAGCTATTGTTACAGTGGATGAACTTAGTATTTTTTTTTAAATATGGAGATCAGATGTTTCCTTTTGTCATGTTAAACTAAGTGAATTTTATTATATGTTGGTAAATGCTAAAACCGTTTTCCCCCTTTCTTCAGGTCATCAGACAGCTAAATGGAGTCTGAGCAACTGTTCCGTAGAGGGTACTGTAGAAACAGCTACAATAGTATAACAAGTGCGAGCAGTGATGAGGAACTCTTAGATGGAGCAGGTGTCATCATGGACTTTCAGACTTCTGAGGATGACAATCTGTTAGATGGTGACACAGCAGTTGGTAAGTTTGGCGTTACAATTCTTAATAATTTGTAGCCATGAATATGTACTAATGCGTTTATACATTGATTTACTAAGGTCGAGTTTGTGGTCACTTTTTCCTTCACAGAAGTGTGTGATTCAGTCATTTCGCATAGACGCAGTGTCATGCAGCCACCACTTCCGTCTAGTTCCCACTTTCACTGCTCCAAAGGAAACTTTAAAATGTACAAATGCATGATCAGAGAGCATACAAGTGACTGGAGTTCTCAGCAAGACAGAACTAGTAGGAGGTGTGTAGGTACACGGATATGTAGAAGGAGATCAGTAATGAGGGGCTAGCGTACATGAGTGCGGAGGCTGAGAAGGCTCACAATCTGTCAGCTGCAAATCGGAGGCCCAGGAAAGCTGGTGGTGTAGTGGCGGTCCAAGTCCGAAGGCCTGAAACGTAGGGAGCTGGTGGCATAGGCCCCAGTCTCAGTCTCAAGGCCTCAGATCCAGGAGCACTGATGTCCGAGGTCAGGAAATAGACATCTCAGTTCAAGCAGAGAGAGATTCACCTTTCTCTGCCATTTTGTTCTATTCAGATCCTTAGCTGATTGAATGAAAGCCCTTGGACTGGTAAGGGCACCTTCTTTTTTCAGTCTACCACGTCGATGTTAATCTCTTCTGGAAGGACCTTCGCAAACACACAGGAATCATGTTTTCCCAGTTCTCTGAGTATCCCTTAGCCCAGGCAAGTTGGCACATAAAATTAGCCATTGCAACAATCATCAAATCTTAAGTGTGGAAACTGGCGAATTTCTACAAAATGAACACACTCCTGTAACTACTCAATCAGGGAATAAAACATGACTAGTTCCCCCAGAATCCTTCCTTCTTCCCCTTCCAGATCAGAGGTAACTATTATTTTGATTTCTATCACCACAGATTAGTTTTGCAAGTATTTAAACTTTATATAAATGGAGTTATACCATATACAGCTGAACCTTGAACAGTGTGGGGGTTAGGGACGCCAACCTCCATGTAGTCGAAAATCTGCCTATAGCTTTTGACTCCAGAAACTTAACTACTGATAGCCTGCTGTTGACTGGAAACCTTTCCGAAACATAAACAGTTGATTAACATGTATTTTGTACGTGTCATATACTGTATTCTTACAGTATAGTAAGCCAGAGAAAAGAAAATGTTTTTCAAATAGTTGCAAATCTGCGAAAAATTTTCCAATATATTTATTGAAAAAAAATCCATGTATAAGTGGACCCATGCAATTCAAATTCATGTTGTTCAAGGGTCAACTGTGTACTCTTGTGTCTGGTGTCACCTCCTTATATTTTGAGATTCATCTATGTTGAAAATAGCAACATTTAATGTATTTTCGTTGCTACATACTATCCCATTATGTAAATATGCTGCAGTTTATTTTATCCATCGTACATTGTTGTTGGATATTTATCTTTTTTCTTTCAGATTTTGGCTATTAATGCTGCTGTGCATGTTCATGTACATGTATTTTAGTGCACACTGTGTGCACAGTTCTGTGGGATTTATACTTCGGCATGGAGTTCTTAGATGACAGGGTACATGGATCTCAGTGCCACCAGATACTGTCAAGGATAGTTTCAAGGTGGTTGTAGAATGTACAGCCTACCAGCGGTATTCTACCAGTGAGAGTTCTGGTTGCTCCATATCTTCACCAATACTTCATAATAACAGTTTTTAAATTTTTGGCTATTTTAGTGTGGGTACAGTAGTCTTACATTCCTTACATTCTGGCTTTAATTTATAGTTGTCTGATGGCTTATGAGATTGAATGCTTTTTTTTGTATGTTTATTGGCTTTATCAATTGCCTCCTTTGAAGTGCCTGTTGAGTCTTTTTGCCTGTTTTATGAGTTCTTCCTCCATTCTGTTTATGAGTCCTCTGTCAGGTATATGTATTGCAAATATCTTTTCTCACTTGGTGGTATGTCTTTTCATTCTCAATGTAATCTTCATCAAAAGATGTCATCAATTCAAATGAAATCCAGTCAGTCTTTTCCTTTATTCTTTGTGCCTTTTGTGTTGTGTTTAAGGTATCTTACCATTCCTCAGGTTATGAAAATATTGTTTTCTCCAAAAAGTTTTATTTTTTTGTCTCTTTCACATTCAAATTTATAAATTCAACTTATTGATTAATTAGATTTATAAAGCAACTAATTTTTCTATGTGATGGGAGTTAAGGGTACACTTTCACTTTTTTCCCATGAGGATAACAAGCTGACCCAGTACCATTTATTGAAAAGCCTCCCTTCTCCAGCCTGCATGGCATCAACATCAAGTGGGTGTACTTCTCTGGGTCTGTTTGTGGCCCTCTGCTCTGTTACACTGAACTAGTTCTCTATCCTTCTGCCAGAGCCCAGCATGTATGTGAGTTTTGTTTTTCCCATTGATCTTACATTGATGTGTAATCCATTTACATTTAATGTAATCATTGATATATTTGGGTTCAAATCTACTATATTTCTGTTTGTTTTCCATTCGTCACAGCTGTTCTTTTTTCTCCCTTTCTATTCCCTACAATACCTTGTTAGGTATACATTCTTTTTTTTTTTTGAGATTTCACATTTACTTTTTTATTTTTTATTTTTATTTATTTTTGGTATCATTAATCTACAGTTACTTGAACATTCAAGTCCCTTCACCAAGTCCCCCTGACAAACCCCATTACAGTCACTGTCCATCAGCGTAGTAAGATGCTGTCGAGTCCCTACTCGTGTTCTCTTGTGTTGT